AGAGGGGGATGGTGTCACTTGCAGTTCTGTACAGAGCAGGGGTTGGACCTGATGGCCTTCTTGGCCCCTTCCAACTCTACTATTCTGTGATTCTGGGAAATCAATAAAAGCTCATAATGTTGTAACATTCTGGGGAGGAAATGACAGACCCCACTGGGATGTACCATTCTCTCCCCTTCTGCCCTCCCCTACAAAACATTTTCAGACTTGACTCCCAAATGATGCTATGTTATCATGAGCTAGGATATCTCTAGAAGAGATGCATTTTAAATAAAAGAATTTTGAAGAGGAGCAGCAAGAGATATGCTTTGCACCCCAGTTGTAATGGTCCTTACATGTTTGCCCCACCAATTGTTTCCTCTTTTTAAAATCTTGGCTCAAGCCACCCTTGAACTTGATCTTTTGGTTCCGATTCATTGGGAAGTAACCTAGTACTAAACTGAGTGACAAGTTTCTACTGCAACCCTATCAAGGCTTCTGATGGTATATAAAAAAAACTTTTATTCATACTTATTTGCTTGCTCATGCATTTATTATCCTGACCTTCTCTGGCAAGGAGCCCAAGACAGCTTGCATAAACCTCCCCATTTTATCCACACAACAACCCAGTAAGGTAGGCTAGGCCAGGAGTCAAAGGCACTCAGCAAGCATCATAGTTGAGTGGGAACTAGAACACAAATCTCTCAAGTTCCAGGCCAACACTCTAACCTAGCGGTGGCAAACCTATGGCATGCGTGCCGCAGTGGGCACGCAGAGCCCTCTCTGTCGGCACGCGAGCCAAGTCATACCAGCATCACCCCAGCAGCAGAGCATTGGATAACAGCAGATACAGGGGCCATGCGCATGCTTGGAAAAGGGTAGTGGTGCCAGGAGATGATGTCACAAACCACAACTCATTAGCTGTGAATCGTCCGAGCTTTCGCATGGCCAGTCAGTGTGTTGCCAAGGTTATATATATATTTGCTTGGAATGGCTGTTTTCAGGCTTTATTGCGGTGTTGGCACTTTGCAATAAATAAGTGGGTTTTGGGTTGCAGTTTGGGCACTCAGTCTCTAAAAGGTTCACCATCACTGGGTTAGGGTTATAAAAACAAGGTGTCCTTGCATGATTTTGATGGTTGGAATCTGTTTAGAATGGGCAGAAAAGTTGAGATGTGCAGAAAAAGCTACTCAAGGAAGGCTTTTTCAAATTTGCCCTCTTTTTAATGGAAATTTAACCCTATATTAGGGTTAGGGGTGTGCACCAGGGTAGGGTTAGGATTAGAAAAACGAGGTGTCCTGGCATGATTTTGATGGTTGGAATGTGTTTAGAATGGGCAGAAATGATGAGCTGTGCTGAAAAAGCTACCTGAGGAAGGCTTTTCCGTCTCTTTCGATGGTATTTTACCTCTATATTAGGGTTCGGGGAGTGTACCAGAGTAGGATTAGGCCAGTGGTGGCAAACCTATGCCCTGCGTACTACAGTGGGCACGCAGAGCCCTCTTTGTCGGCATGCTAGCCAAGTTGCCCCAGCATTGCCCCAGCAACCGAGCACTGGATAACAGCGCACACAGGGGCCATGCACTTGCTCAGAAAGAAGTAGAGGCACCAGGCAATGATGTCACGCACCACAACTCATTAGCCACAACTCATCTGAGCTTTTGCATGGCTGGTCAGTGCACTGCCAAGGATAGACAGACAGATGCTTGGATTGGCTTTGAGTATTTTTTTTCTAAACTAAAACCTTAGTTTTCAGGTTTTATTGTAGTGTTGGCACTTTGTGATAAATAAGTGGGTTTTGGGTTGCAGTTTGGGGACTCAGTCTCTAAAAGGTTCTCCATCACTGCTCTAACCACTATATCACATGGGCTTTTAGTTCCCCATGTCATAAGGCCTAGAAACTTGTCAGGTTCTTTTCCTCCTTCAAGATGAAAGAACAGGGCACCATGGTAGCTATTCAATTCTTTACTGAAGATCACAGGGCAAACATTTGGATGAGCATTTGTAGATTCCTTGCCTACATTGAAGTTGAAGTCTGCTAAATGTAAATTAAAAGCGCAATCCTATAACACCCTTTAAATCAAATACCACTTCAATGAGCACTGGATCTTGAGCCAAAATGTGTTGCTGATTTCCATCCCAATGGCATTTTTGCAGCAGAATTAAAAACAGATCTAAAAAGGAGCCAACTTACATCATATGCTAAAACTTGAGGCACCGCTGAGGAGAATGCCAAGGAGAAAAGCAGCACACATTGTTCCCAACCATAAATATTCCTGATGAAATATCTTTCTTAATGGGGATGCGGAGGATAATAACCAATATAATGTGATGTCCTGAGACCTATTTCTTAATGTTGGTCACTACAGCACAGCTGGGAAGTAACCTTCTTCCCCACTGTGTAGAAACTATATACAAGCACTGCTGGAGTTCCCAAGTTAAACAGATATTTTGGTGAGATGCGTTAGCTGATGCATTGACTCCTGTCAGGAGTGGGACATATGTGGACCTCCAGGATGTGGAGTTGAACTGCAATTCCCATCAGCCTTACCCAGAATTAGCAATGGTGAGGGAAATGAGAGGTGCAGTCTTGACAACATCCTTGCCACCCTGCTCTGTCCAATGCAGCAATCCATTTCTTTACTTAATTTGTATACACCTGACCCACAAATGCCCTTGTGCGGTTTTCAGACATAAAACCAAAACAGAACAGCATCAAAAGCAAAAACCAAAACCAAAGCAACAGGAGAAAGTATCCAAAGAAATGTGATATTAAAACTGAGGAGCCAGCAGTAAAACTAGTAATCATACAGTATAATGTATACTGTATTTATACTAAAGTGTATACTGTATTTTTAATGTGGATTTGTATACTGCCCAGAAAGCTTTGTCTATTGGATACTATAAGTAAATAATTAGAGCGATTCAAGAGCTGTGCAGTGTTACTCTTCAAGATCCATGCTCCTTCACTGGCTCACAACTGGAGAAACTGTTCAACTATGGAGTCTCTTCTGGACTGTACCACTGCAGACTAGAGGTGTGGGATCCCCTGTTTGGATGCAACCACTAGAGTCCAAGCCCACCTTGTTTGTGGAAAGAAGGAAGGAGAGGGAACTTTCCTTTGATTCTTACACTGTAAAACTTGTCATTGGTTATTGTCTGGGTTGAGATTTCATCCAACTCTTACTGTGTTTGCAGCTCCTAAGAGGATTCTTCTTTTTGCATTGTTTGTTTTTGCCATAGCCAGAAGCATCCTGGGAAAGACAAAGAGGGATTTATACTGGTAACACCCTCCAGAACGAATTATTCCAGAGAGGAGATGGAGAAGGGCCATTTTACTTAAGAGGAGTCTCCTCTGTTCTTCCTTGATTGCAATCCATCTCTTGGTGGTGGTGATGGTGGTGGTTGTTGTTGTTGTTAAACATTGTCTTAAACATTATCTGCTTTCCATTTATTTGTACAAGGCCAGCTGCTCTTTGGAGGGTAGAAGTTTGGTCAGGAAATACAGGTAGTTTGGTCAGGAAATACAGGTAGATTTCCAGGGGACAGGAAGGATTTCTGATTGCCAAAAGGACTGCCAGCATAGCTTCCCACGCCCGCCCTTGCCCTCTATGCGATTAGATCTAAAAAGTTGGGGGAAACAAGAGTGGGTTGCTATGGGCTCAATTTTGCACTCTGCTATTTAAAACAAATTGTTGGGCTCATAATCCTGGAGTTCTAAGGTTATCTCTTTTGTCCCTGGAGCCTGTCAGTGGAGCCTGGAGTTCTATTAAAAAACACCCACCTCAGCATGGCTCAGAAGCCTGTTCCTATAAAATCTGCTCAGGTGGCTCACAACATAAGTAGGATAAAGTACAATTTAAAATCACAGCATCATAAAATAACCGTTTGCTGCACTTTTGCCCCAGTGGAGCAAATGGTGGGACATCCAGAGCAGGATTTAGGAAGATCAAGATTCAAGTAAGTGTATGAGGTAGTTGGCAACATATTCTCCATTTTCAAACACAAACAGTGCATGTTTTTATCTTCATTGATTAGGAAAGCTACCTCTGATATGAATCTGCCTGATTATCAAAATTATCTGCTGAAGAGCTTTTCAGGTCACCCTGTCTTCTGAGGTGAGATTGGTGAAGACTATGGGTGGGGCCTTTTTGGTTGTGGCACCCCATCTTTGGAATGCCGTGATGATTCTCATGTTTTGGGTCAAATGGAGAGCTTTTTCCTTGACCTGACTTTGAAGAACTTTAACAATGCGCATCTGCTCAGAAATATGTCAACTCAGTGAGGCTTACTTCCGGATAGAATTGGTAGCCCTGCATTTTCTTTTTAGAACTGGTGTTTAAACTGGAAGCTTGCTGCTATAATGTTTCAATAATCCTGTTTAGTATGTTTCTTTTTATTTATTGTTGATTTCCAGGTGGCAGGGGGTGTTCTTTAGAATGGAAGGATGGGGTATTGCATTTGCTAAATAAATAGGTTATGCTAAAAGAATCAATTGTGGGAACTTGATCAAGGTATATAAGTCTTATGATTTATGAAGTATCCATCTCCCCAACTCCTGATATCACCTTGCTTAGAAGAAATAGGTTAGACATACTTCTCCCAAAGCTGCTAATGCAACATCAGAAACTATTATACAGAATGTAAGACAAAAGATAGGTGATAAAACTGATAAGAGTACCTGCATTTTACTCATTTCGAAACTCTGTTAAAATATTTTTAGAAGTACTGTATGAACAGAATCTTCAATGACTCTCTCTTCAACTCCACAGTAAAGGATTTACCTCCTCAAAGGATTGTATTTTCAGCCTTCAGGAAACTGATCAATATTCCAGGTTTTTAACAGGACAACTGTCATCCAGATTCAAAACTCTTCCAACATTAAATAATGTCAGGTTTATGTATCAATAATAACATTCACAGTAGTCATGATTTTTTCAGCCAATGTTGTGAAGAGATGCAAAACTTGATTCAACTACAGATAACCGTTGCTCTAATGCATTTCCATCTTTTTCATTCCAGATGTTTTGGAAGTCCAGAGAATCAATTTGTTAAACACTGAATATGAAATTAATAAACGGGAACATCACACATACTATTACCACAACTCGAAGTTGATTGTGCGCCGTGGCCAGTCATTTGAAATCAGGATTTCCTTCAACCGCCCACATGACCCAGCAAACGATGTATTCTGGCTGGAGTATGTCATAGGTGAGTGGAACACAGTGGCTTCTGCTAATATTTGCATAACGGTTTTGGGCAAGTGCCTTGGGTAGAGCATGAAGTATAAAAATGGACTGAGGAGGGACAGAGTATGTTCTCCTGGGTGATACGAACCCTGAGATATGGAGAAAATGCCAGTTTGCAAAAAAAAAAAAAAAAAAAGCAACACATACCAACAGAGACAAAATAAAAATCCACTCCCCAAAAGCTGGGGAAATTTTTGGGTGGCAGATGGACAATGGAAAAAAGCAACAGCAGAAGAATAGCACATGGATGCAATGGCAGGGATAACAGAACAGGGGTGAAAAGTTTGACTGTCAGTCAGAAAGCCAGAAAACTAGTTCCTAAGAAGGACCGGCACATTGCATAGGGTGTCACTGCTTATTAAAAGGAACAGTGATTAAAAAAAAGGAAGAAATGTAGAATTCTGCAGCAGACATAATTGTAACCATCGTTTAGTGTTGCAGAAATGAGTTTAGAGGAACTTCAGGTGCTTTTCTCAAGTACTTCATGAGGAGGAGTTCAAAACTTTCTTCTTCTTTAGAATGAACCACTGTTCTTTATGATGTCCAGACTTAGGGAATTGTAGGTTTCTTTGCTTGCTTTTTTTAATTTATAATTATAATTTTTAATGACGAATTCAAAATATGGTTTGATATTCTGGCTTCTTGACTAACCACAGTGAGGAGAAACCATAGTTTCTAAGCTGGTTATAGGGAAGGATGGATATCTACAAATGGAGATGAAAAAAATTGATTTTCCCCTCATATATATAAGAAAGAATGCGCGTAAGTTGAGACTCCCGTAGGATAATTCTTGCAACACTAAATCAGGATTTAGTCATGTTATGTCCAATTCAAGCTCATAAGACAATATTCATAACTGAAAAACACGGAGTGCACTTCTGCATGTGTGAGTTGCTGCCACACTTTATATTTTTACGTGCAGATATTCAGGGGCACCTCGATATGCAATGTGCGTCTAGTGTTTATTGCAGTGTGTGCAATTTATCAGTTTTATTTTGTTGTGTGTGGAATTGTTCTATGTTAATGTTTTTATGGTTTTATTGGAATTTGCTTGAATGTTCATTGACTAGAGGGGCAATTCAGAAATATGTGTGATAAATTATAAAGAAAAAGTGAGAAGTTGTGCATGTTTCTTTGGGTATTCTTACTTCCATAGAGTGAATACAGCAATCTTAATTAAGACTAGCCAACTTTAACTAACTTTTGAATGGTCAGCTGGATGCCTCTGGAAACTCTCACAAACAGGGCATTAAAAAGATGCTAATCCCTGTTGTTACCCCTGGTAATCAAACGTCTATTGCTGGGCCGTTGGCCAAATATGACCTATCCAGGAGTCTCCAACCAGCAATTAGTTGGTGGTGTCCTGGTTCTTGTGCAGTTTTCCCCCCAAACTAAGAGGCTGAATGTTCCTTTCTTGGGCTCAGTAATTGGCAGTAAGTACTTTAAGCTAACATATATTAGTATTTTTAGTATTTTGCTCCTGCTCTCTTCATCTTAGACTCCCCACACACACTCTCAATTTTGTCTTCAGCCCTACGCACCTTTGGAATGCATCCCCAAGATTTTTTCTGAAACTGGACTTGCCCTTGGCCTCAGAGAGGTCTAGCATCTTGGTATGCCTCCTCTGAACATGGAGGTAAAGCCTATGAAGGGATCTGTCATTCATAAATGGGTGTTTTATGCCTCTCTTTAAAGTCATGTAAGGATGAATAGGGAGCTGCAGAATGCTGGGAGTTGTAGAACTTTTTCCATCTGAAGGATTGCACATGCAACTAATAGTCGCATGGAATGCATTGGCCCAAGTTTGTGACGCACTGTTTAAAGAAAAAATTGTTATTCTCTTTCCCAAACTTGCCACACACTGAATTGATTACTGGTTGATTACTCAACATTTCACTCTTGGCCAAATGGAAGAAGTGCCCTCTCCTGAAAAGCATTTAGAAGAAATGTCCTCTTGATACAAACCTGTTACATTCAGGTTTGTGCCGTAGATACGAAAGCTCTGCGTGCAGTGAATAATCTGTAATGGTTTATTCACACATGCAGCCGATCAATGAATATCACACCCATGAGATGTATGAGGGAAATTCCTTTCAGTTTCTGTCTCTGCTAGGGGTGGACTATTTCCACTTCATTTCTAAGTTTGTTCTAGCCTAATTCTGCATTAAGATGTGGTATATTTTTAAAAAGATCTACATGAAAATTCATACAGAAACATTTAGCAACATACTTGCTTCTGAACATATTTCTCTCACAGAAGTTAACAGAGATTTTTAAATATAGCTGTTTTACATATACAGTTTATGAATGTATTTTATCATAAAATGGACAGCTTCTTAAAGCTAAGAACCACAGCACAATATTTAGAGGAGGGTGAAATTACATTCTGTTCTGCGTATTAGTCTGAGAGCTGCAGATCTGGCAATTTGCACCAGAATTCATATGCCCATACTGACTGGGGTTGATGGAAATTATGTCCCAACACATTTGAAGGACAGGTTAGAGTAAGCTGATGCCCTGTGTCATGTTTGTGGCCGATCTACTGTTTGCTCCATGAGAATTACTGATGCTAATTCCCCCTCCGCCCCCCAGCTTACTGTTACAAACACCTTGAGAATTGGTTCTGAACTGACATTTCATTTATCTTCCTGGGAACTAGCAGCATGTTTGCATTTGTATCATTGATTTCTCTCCCCACTTCCTATTGCTGCATAATAATCACATAGTCATTTATTAGATCTCCTATTTGTAAAATAGCATGCATTCAGCATATAGGTTGGTACACTGTGAGAAGTTGTACAGTTTTCCATTTTTCTTTTCAATGACCTTGGATTCCAGTGAAAATTGGACAAAACTTATTTGGCTAAATAAAGGGGGTGTTCTTAGGTCTAAGGCAACATGAGCAGGGAAAGTCACCTTTGGCTTGGCCACTCCTGGCATTCACAATATATTTGGCTGTGGGTTTTCACCACAAATGGCAGGAAATCCCTGATGAGTCTCCAGCACAGTGTGTGCTATTCTCCTCTTGCAGGCGGGAATTGTGCCACAGGAGAATCACAGAACGGGCCTTCTGGGTGTTGTGGCTCTCGGGAGCGGTCCTCAGGAGGCAGTCATGCCTCCCTCCATCTTTCAAAGTACAAGTCCTAGGCAAGCTCTCACTATTTGGAACAGGGCAGCAGCTGCTTGTTCCGTGCTGCTACCGCTCACAGAAAAGCTCCCAAGATCCCGAAGTCCCATCTCCATACAGGCTCCACAAACATCTTCGAGCACAATGCACAAGTTTTTCCTAATGGCAATGGGCACGTAGCCTGGAATAGGGATGGGTGAGAATTTTGTATTGCTTCAGGTTTGATTAGAAATGATCCAAGATCAGAAATATTTGGGAGATATATTGGGAGATATATAAAGAGCTGGAGATATTAAAATGGCATGTGGAAGAGAATGAAACAGATTCATTCATTTGGAGTGCATAGCTTTAAAAAAAAGTCTGTATTTGATCCCCTGCATAATCAGCCATGTGAGGGCTGAATTAAGTTTGCCAATGGCTTTTTTCCCTTCCAGACAGATCCCACTTCTTTAACATGTATAGGGCAGTCAGGTGCAACCCAGTTTCTCGGGACATGTAGTGTGTTCCCACAGCCCCATTTTAAGGTCAAGCTGGTGGAGCAGTGGTTAATCTTTGTATATTTGTATATGGCTGTTCAACACAGAAAATACTGGGAAGCTGCTGTACAAAATTAAAGAACATAAACAATTTCAAATATAAAATATTGGTTATATAAAAATAAAAACATTCAGTATGAGCAATCAAATACCAGTGGCCATTAGGATTCTTCAACTACAGACTGGCAATCCATTAAGAACAGTTTCAACTCAGTCAGCTCAATCTTAAGGGTGCTTTTAAAAGCAGAAAGTGAAAGGCTAAATATATTTACTGAAGTAGGGCACCCTACCCAAAGGGGTCACCACCAGAAAGTCTCTGTCTCTTTTGATCTGGTCAGCCTGATTGATCTTGCTGGAAAGCAAGTGAGGAAGGCCTCCACTGTCTCCTATGAGACCTGTGTAGGTGCATGCAGGGGCAGATGGTCCTTCTGATAACCTGGTCCCAACTTTGGTGTTTTAAAGTTTACAACCAGCATTTTGGATTGAGCCTGAAAATGAACTGGCAACCAGCATAGCTGATATGATATGCTCCAATCACCTGGTTCCCAGAAACAATTGCACAGAGGTATTTACGTATTTACAGATTTATTTAAAACATTTTAATCCCATCTGTATATGTGGCGGATCTCAAGACAGCTTACATACCCAAAAGTGTAACAGCTCATTAGATAACATAAATTCAGTATATAAAAATATGCAGTTAAAAAAATCTGTATTAGATAATAAAATCATTCTACCATTAAAATGCTGGGTGACTGCAAAGGTTTTCACCTGGTACTAAGATGAATCAAGCATCGGTGCGAGGTGCTCCTCTCTGGGGTGCTACCACAGAAAAGGCCGTTCCCTGGGGTAGCTGCTCTTCTAACCCTTTAAAGAGGAACCTCAGCAAAAGATCTCCACATTCAGGCAGGTGTATATGAAAGGAGATGTTCCTGCAGATTCCCAGGCCCTAAACCATTTATATGCTTTGCCAGACAAGGCTTGCCTACTGTCATCAAAGGCAAACCCACCCAGAGTAAATTAAAGTACTCCAGTCTGGACATAATCTAGGCAAGCATGCCTGTGGCAGGGTCTGCCTCCTTCAGATTGGGCTGCACTTGTCAACTTGGCTGATAAAAAGCCGCTGCCTATACTGATCAGCGTGGCAGACAATCATGTGATGAGCTTGCCTCCTTACTGAAATAAGGAGTTCTTCTAATAATGGCTTATTTAAAAAGCAGCTAAATGATTACATCTACTAATGAGCCCTTCAATCTTATTTTTAATAGCATCTTCCTGGGTACAACAATAAATCTGTTG